GGGAGAGAGTCCTGGCCAGTGGAGGGCTGGAGCAAAGAGCTCACACATCCCTGGAAGCTTCAGACCAGCACATCGCCCGTGCCTCTATTTTATCTCCAGTATTATATTTAATCACCTCACATTCCCCTCCAGCCCTTCCTGTGGTGGGGATCACCTGCTCTCGCCAAAATCTTGCTCTTCTTTAGGAAAACCCCTCCTTGCTTCACGGGCACTGAGGGGAGCTCAGACTTCTGATCCAAGCCTTTGGAGCTGGTGAGATTCCTCCTGGAAAATCAACCTGATCGTGTGACCCACAGCAGGGTGACACATGGTGGTTTTTTGGCTGAGCCTGGCAAGGGCAGCTCTGATCCTGCCCAGCTCCCACGGACACTGTGGATTACCAGGAGCAGGAGTTTCATAGTCCGGGCAGTCACCCGGGCAGGACAGTGGCATCACTCCCACATGACAGCTGGACTTTCTCCTTTCGACAGCAAAAAGAGCAAAATTCAGTGTACCTTGAGGGTGGCTGCAGCAAAAAGAGCAAAATTCAGTGTACCTTGAGGGTGGCTGCAGTGTGGGCACCCTGGCATGGAGCAGAGGCAGTGGGACGTGCCTGGCCTTTCCACTGGGGGTCATGGAATGGGTGTGAGGTGGGATGGGGAGCAGGGTACAGGGCCAGCTCTTCAGCCCGGGCTGCAGGTGCTCTCTCTGGTTTTCTGCTTGAATGAAGCTGCTGCTCTGAGCGTGGTTCACAGCCTCCAGCCCACGGCAGACCCTTGCCAAAGTCCTCTCCCCTCTGCCCAGGAAGGAATGCACTTGCCCATGGTTCCCATCTCATCCCAGGAGAGTCTCCTCCTCCCTGGGGGATGCAGAGATGCTGTGCTCTCTCCAGAACACATCAGGGTGTCCCTGCTCCCACAGCCCCACTTTGGAGGGAAAATGCAATCGGTTCTCTCCCTGTCCTTCCTCCCACGGCCCCACGAGCTGGCTCTTCCCACCTCTCCAGAAAAGGATCTGGAGGGAGAGGGGCTGGGTGGGAGTGGGATTAATGCTCAGTGCCACACGGGCAGTGGCATCACCTTTTATTAATGTCCTGTAATAATATTGTAAATACTCACTGGGAAATAATTATATCCTATAAAAGAAGCAGCAGCCTGTGGTTTGAGGCAGGACTGGTTAGCAATACTTGTTTTTATTAAGAGACGTTTCATGTCTCGCTTATAGATTAGATTTTAACCTGACAACCTTTTAACATTGTATTAAATTAGAAATTAACTTTGTACTGCTCACCATATAATTGACCCACCGATAGGCTGAGTGCTAGGGAATATTTCAGATACCTTTCAGACAGCAAAGTTCCCGAGAAAATTCAGAGCCTCCTCCTTTATCTAGACCAGGGCTTTGCTATTAATTAGTATTTCTGATCAGGTGGCAGGAATGCTTTCCGTGGAGGGGGAGCAGCCAAGGAGCACTGTGCCCATGTGGTGGAGGGAAGGAGATGGAGGTGACAGGGAATGCTGCAAGCCCCTGACCCTGCTGTCGGTATTTTAGCATAATTTCCTGCAGCAGAAACTCCCAAGAAAGGCAAAAATTCAGCCTGGAAACTCACTGCCAGCCGCACAGCTTCAAATGACATCTGAGCCCAGGGAGGGATGGGTGGCAATTGATGGGACAGTGTCAACGCCCAGGCACAGCCAGGAGTGTCCCCAAGGCCGGGGGGACATGTGGCATGCCCAGCAGTGCCCCTGGGCAGAGTGAAGGAGCTGGGTGCAGCCGTGGGGACAGGGATGTCCCCGCCGCGTCCCCGCTCCAGCCCCGGCGCTGGGGACTCGCACCCCGCCAGGTCCGGCCCTGCGCTCCCGGCGGGCGAAGGCATTTGTGGGACAACTGAAACCTGTCCCCAGAGGGACAGCGCAGGTCTCACCCCGTCGGGCTGGGAGGACTCCGGAGCCCAGATTGACACCGGTGTTCCCTCAGTGCCACGGGACAGCGGGACACCGAACGGCCCCGGTGCTCCACCGCGGGGACCCAGGGATGCTCTGCCCGGCTGGGCGGGCAGGGACAGGGGAGGGCACAGCTGGACCGCTCGTCCCTTCCCCTTTCTGTTCCCAGCAGCTCGGAGAGGGGCTCCCCTGTCCCCGGGACAGGCGCCGCCGCAGACAAATGCTTGTCCCGGTGCCTTTTCCATCTGTGAAACAGGCCAAGCAGTGGATCCAATTATTTTTTTTCTCCTAGCACACAAGCCACTAATCATTTATTGCATTAAAAAAAAACCACCCCCCCTCGTCTCCACGACTTTTGTTCCCGTTTTATCCAATTAAAACTCAGGGGGGAAAAAAATAAAAGTTTCGTTTTCTCCTTTTTTGCAATCACAAAGACCCGATCTCAGCCCCATTGACTCGCTAATTGTAAGCACTCAAATGGTTGGGTTTAAAGTTACACTTAGCAGCTGTGAAACATTAGGGTGAAGTGATTACAACCTACTGGAGGATACCGAACATTTTTACAATATCTCAGGAGCACAAGGGAAAGACAACAGGAAATGGCGCAAACTTTCCTACCCTGCACAGCAACAAGGCAGAGCAAAGGAGTGAGAAAATAAATGCAGAGACGTGGCGCAGACGTGGTTTGGATGCTCAAAAAGTTACTGAGGCAGCCCTGGTGAGAGCAGCACGGATTTGCCCCCTCGGTGGGACGGGGAGCAGCGTTCAGGGATTTCACAGCCGCACTTTGCAGTGTGCAAAGCGAGTTTGCAAAACTCTGTTCTGGGTCCTCTGCCGAGGAAGGAGGATGGAGATCTTGGCAGGATTTTGCCCTTGGCCTGTCCTTTGCCTCGTGCCAGCAAATATTCTGGGCCTGGGGAACGCTGCTGAGGGCAGGACAAACCAGAGTGTTCCCTCAGAGGGACAGGGACAGGATGGGCTTTGCCTGGGCTGGGGCTCAGCATCCTCAGCAAAGCCACCAAATCCTGAGCTCCACGTGCCCTGCAAAGCACCAGGAATCCTGATGGTCGCACCCAGGCCCTGGACTGCTCCTGAGATCTGATTTCATTTGAACTCCAAGCTGTCACGATGGAAAACCACTGAGCTCCCACTCCTTTCCAAACAGCCCAACGTCCCCCTCCCATGATTTAAGCCCGCTACACGCGTGTGTTTATTACAGAAACCAGGGTAGGATAAGAAAGCAATATTTCATGGTAATTCATGAAATCTGAACTCAACTTTTAATAGAAGAGCCCCACTTTATGCCCAGAGTGATATACAGTCTGCCCCTCTTTAAATGAGACGTTTTGCCTTTTGAACTCAGCAGGAGCCCTCTGCTTACAACTACTGGGAACAGTTTAAAAACCTGCAAGTCCCCGTGTCTCTTGGGCTCTTTGGTTTATATCATGGCACAGCATTCTTGCTGGGCTGCCAGCTGCTGTGCTCGAGAACCTGGCGTGTCAGAAACTCACCTGGAGAATTTCCACCGTGGCAGGAGCTGCTTGCCCAAAATCCTGCAAAGACCACGAGCCTCTGGTTGTTTTAAAGTGGGGTTTGGGTCAAGTTCCTTGACTGAAAACCTGGTTCTGTTGAAGTCAGGGGTGAACCTCCCTTAAGAGCAGCTTCTAGACTTATCAAGGAACAGAAATATTCTCTCCTGGTGCTTGAAAATGAGTTCTCATTTGGCTGCTGAGGTTGAGGAGGAGGAAGGGTGGTGTGACACGAGACCACCCAGCTGAAATGGGGGGCTTTTAGGGCCATGGGTGGGAGCAGGAGTGTGGTGTGAGTGAAAAACACAGTGCAGGGATGTATCATTTTTTTTTTTTTTTTTTAGGCTCTAGGCTTTCTTAACAGTCTGGCAACAGGGCTATCAACAGCAGAGAATTTAGGACATTCTTTTCAATGAACCAGACTGAAAATATTTTGGTACAGCCCCAGTTTGTAGGGTTTTTTTGAATCTCTTCCCCCCCACTTTAAACAAAACATCCTGATTCAAAGGAGCTTCTTGCAGACTGGGAATTTCCACATGGCCATATTGCAGCACTTATAAAAAGTGATTTAATGCCTGCCAACAACAAATACATTTGCAATGACACCACTCTGTGTTATGTGCTATCCCACTTTGTGTGCTCAGCCAGAAGCAGCCAGGCTGTCCCAGGCAGGAGGGAGAGGAGCCTCCTTCCTTCCTCCAGGAGAACTTTGTCCCTTTCCCCGCTCCTTGGAAAGCCTGAAAGGAAACAAGCATCACGGTGACAACACAATCCCTTCTGTATGTGTTAATCTGGATTTTGTTTGAACTTTTGGAGCTGACCTTGGCTTGAACTGTGTTAAAAACCCTGACTGGTGTGGACTGACTTGACCCTGCGGTCCCATTTGTCCACGGTGCCAGTCCTGCCCTCAACCCTGTACTTCAAGCCTTTATTTTACAGACAAAAAGGAACATAACATTACAGCAGATATAGCCAGCGGGCCGGAGCTGCAAGTACTTACTTAGAGGCAAAACTCTCCTCTGATTAAACCACAGTGCAGGGATGTATCAAATAGAGTTACTAATGAATCAGATGCTATAGAGTTATTATTGAATGAAACCCTATAAAATTATCATTAAATCAGACCCTGCAGACCTCAGAGTTAGTGATAATTCAGACCTCATGGAGTTATCAATGAATCAGATCCTATACAGTCATCACTGCAACACACTCAGTTTTCTCTGGCTCACAGAAGAGCTGGAACTCAGTGGTTATTCTGCTGGGTCATCTGTGAAAGTATCAAATTAAAGTTAAATTAGCCACCTCATGGCAATGCTTTTTTTTTTTTTTTTTTTTTTTTTTTTTTTTTTTTTTGCTTGAGAAGAGACTGACTGAAAACCGAGCAAGAAACTGAAATTATTGCTGTAGACTCTCGCTTTTTATTAGCGGTTTCCAAGCCTGAAGAAAACAAAACCTTCTGAGTGGCTGTGTTACAGTCAAAAGTAAAAAAAAAAAAAAAATACTAACCCAAACCAAGCCCAAGACTGAACTGGGTGTTTGGGGATGGAGTAGGAAGAGGGTGGTTGGTTCTGCATCCCTTGGTGTGGCTGGCTGGAGCTGTAGGATTTGTGGCTTTAGATAGTTTCCTCTCCCTGCCATGACTCAAACGGCTTCTATTAAAAACAAGTAGTGGGAAGGAAATTTCATAAGCTGACAGCCCCATCTCACTCTGCTTCTAGACACAAGTTGGCTGAGATGTAGGAATTTGTGTGGTTATGATGTGTGAGCCCAGAACTGTTTTATCAGCGGGGTTATGCAGTGCTAGCTCTGACTGTGCACGTTCAGAAGGGTGCAGAGGTTCAGGCTGTTCTGCAAAGGCTCTGACCCATGATCCCACAACAGAACAAATGGAAATGGGAGCCTCTGCCTCCTGCACCTGGTCCTTGTCCCACTGAAATCAGTGGGATGAAGAAACAGGGTCCCAATCAAAGCAGGGAGCTGGGTGCTGGTTTTCAGAGGAGCCAAGTGGGTGCAAGGCACACCACCTAAATACCTTGTTTTTAAAAATCCTGTCTGTGCACACGAGGACAAGGAAATGGGGAGGCAAAACCATGCTAGACTGGCTGCATAACAGCCACTGATGGCTTTAATTAAAGCCCTCAAGTCAGTAAATACACACAGAGTCTGGTGATACACAAAGCTCACAGTCAGCCCAGTAACACTCCATGAACATTGCCATTTAAGCAGTTTCTTGTTTAACTTAGATTTATTCAATGACACATGCATTTCTGGACAGATATCTGAGTTCCAATGAACAACTTTTATAACCAAATATGAGAAATCCATGACTGCAATTAGTCAATTAAGTATGTTCCTAAAATACATGACTAGAAGAAAATGGGAGCAAGAGAGAGAATTCTTCCAAAGAACAAAAAGAAACATTTCCATTTGTAATACTCCTGGCATCGATGAGTATCAGAGGGGAAGAAGGGCAGCAAGGAGAGGCGATGAGGAAGGAATAACATCATCAACCCTGTCCACAGAAAGTCCTCCAGTTTCCAGTCCCTCCAGTTCATCCATTAATGCTCGGCACTTTCACCAACGGCGAGAGCTCCTCTGAGCTACAGAGATTCATCTCAGCACAAAAAAAAGCAGAGAACAGCTGTGAAACCTTGTGCTTGACCCAAGATGGCTTAGGAGTATTTCTCCTCACCCAACCTCTTCCTGAAGACAGCGAGAAAAGAAGCTGCAGAGCTATCAGGACTGAAGATGGAGCCTCTTCGTATTGCACAGGAACACAGAGTCAAGATTTCACGAGTATGCTTCAGGGAGGTTTAAGAGTCATCAATATTCATCAGGGTAACGAGAACCACCCCGGAGCTGGCAGGTGACAGACACAGCGGGATTGTTTGGGGGAGAGGCAGCTCGTTACCCTGGCTGGATGTGTCCCTGCTGGGCTGCTGCTTTAGGGGAATCCCGTGGGGAACAGGCTCAGGGGCTGGTTCTCGTTAGTCGGGAGCGGGGACCGGTAGCCGTCGAAGTTTCGGGGGATGCTGCCGCTGGTGGAGCCCGAGCTGTTACTGAGCGTCTCTATGCTTCCCTCTCGCTGAAGCTCTGCAAGGGAGAGAGAGCAGCTCCTGGTTAGTGTTTGGGATAAACCCCCAGAGTCGTCAGACAGATGCTTTACTGGCAAATCCCTCGGCTGTTGCATTGCTCTAACGTTTGCTCATCGTCCTTTCCCGGGCTGGTTTGGGAATCGCTCCCGAGGAACGCCAGCTCCTGGTTCCACTTCTCTGCAGCTGGGCTCACAGCTCAGCTGAGCCAAAGATGGAGACATTACCTGCTGCCCTTCCCTGGGGCCGAGGCTGCTGACTCAGGACATGACAGGATTCCATAGTGGGGATCTCATGGTTGAACTGAGCAGGGTGTGGAGGGGATGGCTGCAGATGATGGAAAATCTTCCCTCCCAGCCATGCTGGGAAGGGGCATTGGCAGAGTGTGCACCAGCAGTGCATAACCACTGCCATTCCCCACCTCGGGGACACCAGGACTTTCCACAGACCTTTATCCTGCCCAAATGGATGTAAACAACTCAGCTTTTTCAAGCCAAAGAGAAAATATCCCCTCTCCTCAGCCGTGCCCCCAAGCAAAAGAGAAAGCAGCCTGGCTGTGGCTCTCCCTCTCCTGGTCACACCCACCCAGCCATCTCCCCTCTCTGACCTCCAGGAGCCTTTAGTGCTCCTTAATCTCCTAACAGGAGGATTTTTGTGTGTGCAGGGCATCGTTTCCAGCCGTGGCCTCTCCGTGAGCCACTTGAACCCTGCAGTTGACTCGGTGGCCACGTGCAGCATCCCCCTGGCAGCACTCAGCGGTGGCATGCAGCAGGGACATGAGGCAGAGCCCAGGGATGGCACAGGAATCCTCCCCCAGAGTGACAGTGGTGACAGGAGACAATAAATACTCTGGGGAGTTGTGATGTGAGACCCTGAGCATGACTTGGTCTGGGCAGCCTGGGCTGGAGGGGATGGGCTGGGGACACTTTTGGGCAAATTCCTCTGCTGCCAAGGGGGAAAGAGGACCTGGAGGGACTACAGGAGAGCTGGAGAAGGACTTTTTATAAGGACACAGAGCAACAGGACAAGGAGGAATGGCTTTAAACTGGAAGAGAAGTTTAGATGGGATACTGGAAAAAATAGTTCCCCGTGAGGGTGGTGAGACACTGGAACAGAGAAGCTGGGGTTGCACCATCCCTGGAAATCCTCAAGCCAGGTTGGATGGGGCTTGAAGCAGCCTGGGATAGTGAGAGGGGTCCCTGCCCATGGCAAAGGATGGAATAAGATGAGCTTTAAGGTCCTTTGCCACCCAAACCTTTCTCTGGTTCTGTGTAAGACTTGTCTGGGGTGGAAAGGAGCCACAGGAGCTGCAGGAGCAGTGTCTGCTCTGCTCTCTGCTAAATATTCCTGCCCTTCCACTGCCTCATCTGGGCTATTTAACCTCCTGTAAACACTTTGCCTGCAGTGGGACTCTGTGATAAGGACAGATCTATACACAAAGTACAGGGAGCAGCAAAAAGTCAGCTTTTCCCTAAAGCAAAAAGCATCTCACCCCAGCATCCTCTGGCACTGCCCTGCTCCCCTCAGCCCCTGGGCACTGCAGGGCCACCAGCCCTGCCCACACCTAGCAGGGAGGGCTGTGGGATTTAATCCCTCATCCTGCAGGTAACCTGTAAGGAGATAATCTGCCCAGGATACAAGGAAAACAAATCAGCAGGAAGCTGGTCACCCTGAAAGCAGCGCTGGCAATGACCTCGGCTGCATTCAGCACCATTTCTTGCCAGTATTTGGTGAAGGAATGTCCATGTCTAAACCTCTTCATTTTCCTCACATCCTTACTCTCCCATGGGTCCAGGAAGGAAAAACAGTAATTTAAATCAGAAATGAGTGGCGTATCCCACACTAATACTGTGCTTATCCTGTCTGATTTGGGGCTTTCATCTCCCTCAGCACACAGCTGGCTTTGCTTAAAGGTCCCACGTCAGAGCTGGGGATGCTGGGCAGTGCTGCTGGGCTCCCCCTAACCCCAGCACAGCTCCTCCCGGGGTGATTCCACTCTCTTTCCCACCTAGAATGCATTTCCAGGCAAAGTGTTTCCAGCAAGGCAAAGGGAGAGGGACAGAGAGAGGAGTTTTGTTTTCCTGTGGCTCCTGCTTCTGTCCCTGGGGTTGAGCTCCTGCCTGTCCCTCAGTACCTGGTGGGACCTTGTGCCCTGCCTGGGTGGGATTTGGGGGGGATTTGGGCTTTTATGGGGTCTGCAGGATCCCTGCAGCTGGCAGCTCCTGTCACCTCTGCGGGGCCTGCCAGGGGGTGGCACTGCAGAGACTGATGCCAGCCAGGGAAAAGGCAGGGACCAGAAAGCAGGGATGCAGAGCCGCGGGCACAGGGCCTGCATGGAGGGAGGGAATTCTGTCCTGCCTGTGTCCCACAGCTCCGAGCTGTCCTGAGCTCCCCTTGCAGCTGCCAGGCAGGAAAACCTGACAATTCCTGACCAAAGACAAGGGGCAGGAGGGGCAGAGGCTCTGGAGGGGATTTTCCAGCCCAGTCTGGGTCAGGGGGTGTCAGCTGAACCCGGGGAGCTCCCACATGCAAGCTGCCATCCCCGGGCACACATTCCCCATGGAACACGAGTCCCAGGGCTCTCACACAGCCCAGCTCTCACTCTGGAACTAATTACCCAGCCAGGCAGACGAGCAGCGTGCTCTGATACCCGAGGAAGCCCTGGAAAAGTGCTTGGCTGCCACAGAGAGCTCTGCTGTGCTCAGGAAATTGGGCTCTTGCCCTCACCCCGGCCGGCTCTGCAGCACGGCTGGGTCACACCAGGGGGACAATTAGCCATGACATGGTCACCAGGGACCACCTGCCCACACAGCTGACCCCAGCACCACAGGCAGCATGTCTGCCTGCCTTTCTCCAAACTGCTCTGTTTCATTAATAAAAAAAAAAAAATATATATATTTATATTAATAATAAATAAATAAATAAATCCAGGGGGACAATTAGCCATGACATGGTCACCAGGGACCACCTGCCCACACAGCTGACCCCAGCACCACAGGCAGCATGTCTGCTTGCCTTTCTGCTCTGTTTCATTAATAATAATAAAAAAATATTTATATTAATAATAAATAAATATATAAATAAATAAATCCAGTGTATATTATGATTCTTCCTCCCAGCCCTTACAGCAGACTGGGGCAGAGCAGAGGAACATCAATGAGATTCCCATGGGAAGCAGAGACAAGACTGGGAATGGCTCTGTGACATGGGGACACCCTTCCTCTCACAGAGTGAAAACTGCAGGACAACTTCTCATGGGTCTGGAGAGACCAAGCAACTGCAGCAGGAGCTGCAGGGTGGGGCTGTTGGGTATCAGGACAGACAGGTCCCTAAGGCCACCCTGGGATGGGACAGCCAAAGGACCTGGAACAACCTAAAAAGGCACATCACACAACCAGTGAGACCACTGACATCCTCTGCGCTGGGAGAACACAAAATAGGAGCAAATCCCCACGGAAAGGTGGGAGTGGGTGGCAGCAGAGCCCAGAGCAGCAGGATCAGGGAGCAGCAGCACTCCAGGGCTGCCCAGGCTCTGACTCCGCTCACTCCGGTGGAGTTACGCCAGGAATGGACTTGGCCCCAGCAAGTCTGAGGGTTATTGTATCTGCATTCCCCCATGCATACACTGTCGAGATGTATTAACTTCCTTAAATGTACCAGTAAAACAACCTCTTATGATACACTTTAATGAACTTGTACAGTAGCCAACAAATTGTGCATCATATAAAACCCATTCGGCCTTATAGACTCCCTGGCTATTTTGTAATAACTGCAATTTGCTTCTGCTGAAGCAAGATAACCAGGGTTGAGAAGTCAGGCTTTGCAGAAACCTAAATATTTGATTTGGGGGGGAGTGGGTGGGAGAAGGAAGAAAGGGGCCTCTGGGAGCTATTTATGGGGTCAAAATAACATGAGACCTGCTCTTCTTGTAGCGTTTCCACCATCAAGGAAATGAAATACTGTGAGAAGACCAGCACTTGCATTATTTTGGCCCCACAAATGGCTCCCTGAGGCTTTCAGAAGCCCGTGAAAAACAAACACAAATACAAATAAATGCTAATACTGGAAACGTAAATACTAAAACCTGCCCATGTCCCTGGAGGAAACGACTCACAAAGTCCTGCCTGCCCTAAAAAAAAAAGAAAAAAAAAAAAAAAAAAAAAAAAAAAAAAAAAAGAAAGAAAAAAAGTGAAGGAGCTGGAACATCTGCTGAAGCCATGAGGAGAAAGTCACTTCAGGGGAGCTGGGAACAGCCGTGCCTGTGCTTTTGACAGTAACAGTAATGGGCACTGCTGGCATCACCCAGGGTCCCAGAGTAACTGGATTTCAGGGCACACACACACACACACTTTCCACCGTGGTGGAGGCAGCAGCAGCAGTGAAAATCCTCGTGGCTGCTGCTGAGGGATGGCAAGTGACCATCCTGGGTCCCTGGCCCAGCCCAGGGCAGCCACCCCCTCTCATGGCACAGCTCTGGGCCTGGAGGAACACTGGGACAGCCGTGGGGACAGCAGAGGAGCTGGGAGCAGATGCTGGCTGCTCCCTGCCTGGCATGGCTGCCAGCAGGGCTGCCCTGCAGAGTGGAGGGTGTTCCATGAGGAACTGGCAAGGAAACCTTGCAGGAATCATTCCTTTGTGCTGATATTCCTGACTGCCATGCTGCAGCCAGCCTGTCCTGTCCCTCGCTCCTCTGCCCCAGCCACGCTGCTCTCCTGAGCTGGCTGCTGAGGACGAGGAAGAGGAGGAAGAGGAAGAGGAGGAAGAGGAAGAGGAGCTGCTCTGGGGACAGCCTGGGGTCTGCAGTGCTGCTCGAGGTCCAGCTGCACCCTCCATTCCAGAAAGCTCCAGGAACTGTCAAAGGACCCCATCAAACCCAAGGTACAAAGCCCTGCCAAGCCTAAATGTGAAACCATTTTATAGGGCACATTAATTCAATGCCTGAAGAAAATCTATATAGCTCTCTTTTGCCCGGAACACTCATAAATTATGCTGCCTTTCTTA